CTCCCCCCAGCAGCCACCCCCCGCCCTGCTGCAGCCACAGGTGAGTCCACAGCTGAGCAGCAGCCGGCCCCCCGGTGGCCAGCCAGCACTCTGTCCCCACAGCCCCTCGACTGCACTGCCATCCGGTACCCAAGAGCCGACCTGTTTGCAGTCCTGCAGCCCAACCCGCCCACCCGGGATGGGCCACCAGCAGCACCAACTGCCGAAGGTTCCGGAAAAAGAGCCTGCAGCCGCCCAGCCTCTGCCGCTGCCCGAGGTGCGTGAGGACAGTAATCAGGGTCTGGCCCCCACTCCCGTATCGGTCAAGCGAGAGCCTCAGGAGTTGGACCAGCTGTACCTGGATGACGGTAAGTGCCCGCGGCCGCAGGTGGGCGCCTGGCTTTGCACCGTGTGAGTGTGCGAAGGAGGGGTGTGCGAACTCGCTGCTTGGCAGAGGAGTGCACCCGGCTCCTGAGCCCCAGCACGGCAGGCGGCTCTCCCTGCAGACGTGTCACTGAGCGTGGCAGGCAGGACGATGGTGTGGAAATCTCGGTGCCGTGGCCTTCCTGTAAAATAGTAACAAGGTGCCTGTGGTGGTTCGCAGCGTATTTATGTAAAGGGCCGCCGTTTCCTTGGGCACGAGCTGGGCTGCGGCTGGGGGCAGCAGGCAGTCCTGACTTGCACCTTGATCACCATGATCTGCTCGCTAAGCGCCGGTCGCTAGCACTTTCCTGGGCTGCGAGCACAAACAATCCACATAAGTGTAAGTTGTTTCCCGGACCTGGGCACGGACGATCCAGCTGAAGGCGAGTGGGGAGCGGTCAGGGGCGCACACCTCTCCTCTTGGGGTGCTGCCCTGGCCTCCATCCCTCCTGGGTGAGGGCAGATGCCTGGAAAGCCCCTCCAGCCTGTGTTCCGTGACCCTGGCACCTCAGGGGCAGCCGCAGCCTTTCCCAGGAGGAGTGCTCATGACTGGGCAGTGTTTCACATTCACTGGACTCACAGGTGCTGGTTCTGCCCTTCGAGAAGGTGCCAGCATGGGAGGTGCTGGCGTGTGAGGGGTGCCAGGGCCACGGCCCTGGGCCAGTCTCTGGGCCCCTCTGGACTTGGTTCGCTTGATGGCCGGATCCAGACTTGGTTGAGAGGCCAAAGCTGAGTAAGACAGTCACCCTGAATCCCTCAGTTCAGGGGACGACCGCTGTCACACAGGCCCAGCCCCATGGTGCAGCCTCTGCTGATTGCCCTGCCCCTGTCAGCCTGGTGGGGTGCGGGCATAGAGCTCCGGGTGCCCAAAGGCTGCACCCTCCTGCTCCTCTGGGCTCTGATGCCCACCCGGTGCCTCCAGTGGGCTCCTGCTCCCCCGTCACTCTCCCAGTTGACACCAGGCTCCAGCCCTAGAGGTCCTGCCTCCAAACATCTTTCAGACGCCTGTGCCTCCGCATCAGTCCCCACACTGCTCACCTGTGTGGTCAGGACGCTCTCTAGCAGGTCATCTGCTCTTCTTTGTCCCCAAATACTCCTCTTGCTTCCCTGTGATCATGGTCACCTGTAGAACAGTGTAGGAGTCGCTCCCTGTCCTCAGCCTCCTGCCCCGGCCGCACACACACTGCCCCTCTGCCATGCACGAACTGCCCCTGGTCTGCCCACTTGTCTCCAGGTCACACATGTGGTCCTGGGCCCCTTGAGAGGTCCCGCAGCCCAGCCCAGTGCAGCTTCGTGCACGTAGGTTCTGTCTGCTCCATTTGAGGCCACGTTTGGGGGCCTTATTCCCCTAAGTCTCCGTCGTCCCAGGACAGTTATAAACAAAGCTTTTCAGTGTGGCCCAGGACAGCAAGGCAATGTTCGTTTTGGGGTCAGGATTGGGACCATGGTTAAGACAGCTGTGCCAGAGGCCTCCCTAGAAAGCAGTAAATGATGTCTATAAATATGCGCCTCTTTCATGCACACCCCCGCCCATATGTGACATTTCATTGCTAATTCTCAACCAGAATCACGCAGGGAAAGCCTCGAGCCCCTGCAGAGTACCTGCTGGCCTTGGGTCCCTTACAGAGACGCTGATCCGCCCCCACAGGAGAGCAGATTCCCCTTGGCCCATTAGAGCTGGTGGTGGGTGCCCACGGCTGACAAGCCTCTGCCATGGAACAGCCGTTCCCAGAGGCTGAGGGTTCTGGGATGCAGCCTCCCACGTATTAGGCTTCCCTCGATGGGGCTCCCCGGCCCGAGGGGCTGGAATTGGTCCGAGCACTCAGGCCTGATGACCCTGCCTGGTCCTGGCAGCAGGAGACACACCTTGTCCATCCCCATCAGAAAGCAGAGCCGATGCCTCTTGCTGTCTGAGCAGCTGAAGTCTCCTGAGCCCATAGGCATTTGGAATATAGCTGGGCCCGGCTCTCCCCGGAAATCTTGGGGTGCTTTATGCTGTGCAGCCGCCGTGAGGAGAAAGCACCTGTCTCACCAGAGGGTGGGCAAACCGCCTGCCGAGAAGTCAGGGCTCCTGGGAAGATCTTTATTTATTTATTTTTTTATTATTATTGATCCTCTCCCTAGGATTTTTTTTCCATCGATTTTTAGAGAGTGGAAGGAAAGAGAGAGAGAGAGAAAGAGAGAGAGAGAGAGAGAGAGAGAGAAATCCTCATCTGAGGATATGTTTTTAATTGATTCTAGAGAGAGGAAGGGAGGATGTGAGAGAGAAAAATCAATTGGTTGCCTCCGGTATGCAGCCCAACCAGGGCCAAGGATCAAGCCTGCAACCAAGGTACGTGCCTTTGACCAGAATCAAACCCAGGACCCTTCAATCTGCAAGCCAACACTCTATCCACTGAGCCAAACTGACAGGGCATCATGGGAGGACCTTGAGGCCAGGTTTTTGTGCCAAGCCTGACCCCTCGGAACATGGAACCCGCCCTCTGGTTAGAGCAGCGATGTCCATGCAGGTCAGACCCGGGACGGCATGACATCAAATCGAGGCCACGCCATGAGCACAGGAACCTGAGCCTCCAGCCTCCCACCCCACATTCTGAGGGCCTTTGGGGTGGGTTTGCACTGTGGCTCCTTGATGTGGTGGTTGGAGAGAGTGACCGTGGGTGTGGGCAGAACTACGTTGCTTTCATAAGGCTTGTGTGGTGCGTCAGCTCCGTGATCTGATGCTTTGCTGGCCCCCGTGTGAGGTTCTGTGTAACTGAGGTTTTTTAAAATTAATTTGTCCAACG